CTTCGCAGAAGCTTAAGGATTCTGCCTTTGCCTGAGCCATTTTGCCATTGGAGCTACGAGTCGACTCTGCTGTGAACCGCCGGGTCCCAATTCCCGGGCCTCACGCACACCGACAACAACGAGTTTGCAGAGGTAAGCGGTAGGGTTTCCACTGCTCCGCGAGGTGGAAGGAGTACCCTCTTTCGTGACTTCATCATCTATGCTTCTTGAGGGGAAAAACAAGCGGATGGCGAGCCGAATGCGCCTCAGTACATTTCTCCTGCCTACACTTTTCCATTTACAAGAGGTTCTGCAGCACACAGACATCCTTGGAGCAGCGCAACATTGGTCGACTTCAGAGCCTGGTTGCTATGCAAGAAGTATCAGTGCTGAGGCCTGTTTTTGTGCTTCGAGCAGCTTCCCCGGATGATGCACCCAGAGATCACTGCAATCCTTTTCTGTGCAGTTTATGCGAAGTGGCAGCTTCTTCTCCGAGACACTCACGCTCAAAAGCCGCTTCGCAGACAAGTACGTGACTGGCCACGACACGCCCCCTCTCCCCCCCCTCCCCCCCCCAGTTCGAGCTACAGCCCAGTCACGTATTGCTTTGGATACTGTTGAAAGGGATTGCAGCGCAGCTGACATGCTGCTTGCTCCGGGGAAAACGTCAAACGTTGGTGAGGATGAGAAGTCTCCGATCAGGTTGTACGGACTTGCAACACAGCTGCCAAACACAAAGCTATCCAACGGCCTTCAGCACGACGTAATCCTCCCAATGCTGGCTCCGCTGAGCACCCTGATGTCTTTCGATGCACATGGGGTGCCCTTGTGGCCCCAGACGGGGCGCCGGGCCGGTCTTGTCTACAGGACAAGGTGCAGGTTGGGACACTGCAACCACAGTTCTGAAGTACGACCAGCTACATGCGCAGGGCTGCTTGAGGGTGATGCTGGCCCCAACGTGACACCAACGCTTCGTCTTGCAGCGGGGCGCGAGAGCCGGGACTCGCTCTTGAGGCGAGGAGCAGGTTCGCCCTCTAGCAGTTTCTGCACTATGGTACGGCTCCACGACACGGCTGGGCACAGACTTTCTGATGAGCGATATGCCACTGCCGCAACACAGTTGTGAGCATCCAAGGACACAGTCCTTCACGGCCTTTACTGGCTGAACGTCTTACGGCCCTCCGCTGGTTGTCGTGAGTTACCCAGTGTGGGACGCCACTAGACGGGAACTCAGGGTGTCGGCCCATCTGGGTACGGCCCACCGGCGCCAGTGCGTGAGTATCGGACGCGATGACTCACATTTAGGGTGACGGAGACAGTCAAAAGCGAGTGAGTCTGAGCTGAGCCTTAGGCAGTTTCAGTTATCATGTGAAGCCGATTTGCGAGCCTGATGTTTCTACAGCTTTGTACAGCCAGCTCAAGCAGGCCTCATTTTAAACTCTATTCCTTGTAGGCGTTTCCTTTCCCTTCTCTGAGGCATCGGCAAGTCTGATTCCGAGGATGCGCTTGCCTTGAGTTCTTTTCTTGTTATCGTACGTTCGTGGCAGAGGTAGCAGCCTGGGCCTAGGAGCTTTAGGTTCGTCCATTGCTCTTCAAAGGGATGAGGTAAGTAGCTGCGATTATCGCAGTGCAGTCCCCCCGCGCCAGCTCCAACGCCTAAGTACGTGTTGGGTCTTGTTGCTTGTGTGTTGGTTGTTTTTCGGTTTGGTCTTGTTTGGCTTGTTAGTCCTTGGCGAGGCGGGTCCAAAGGACGGAGCTGGCAACGGCACGTTTCAATGGGCTTTTAGCTAATGGTCAAGGCACGTCCGAAGGGCGGAGCTGGCCACGGCACGGCACGTCTCACGGGCAGGGCAAGCCAAGGGCATGGCGCCTCCCGAAGTTTCAGAATCGCCCGCTATGAGCAGAGCCCGCTCGCTCAGCGTTCAATAAAAAATAGTAGTAGTAGTAGTAGTAGTAGTAGAAGTAATCGTAGTAGTAGCAGTAGCAGTAGCAGTAGCAGTAGCACTAGCAGTAGCACTAGCAATAGCAGTAGCAGTAGCATGAGTAGTGGTAGTGGTAGTAGTAGTAGTAGTAGTAGTAGTAGTAGTAGTAGTAGTAGTAGTAGTAGTAGTAGTAGTAGTAGTAGTAGTAATCGTAGTAGTAGCAGTAGCAGTAGCAGCACTAGCAGTAGCACTAGCAGTAGCAGTAGCAGTAGCATGAGTAGCGGTAGTAGTAGCAGTAGTAGTAGTAGCAGTAGTAGTAGTAGTAGTAGTAGTAGTAGTAGTAGTAGTAGTAGTAGTAGTAGTAGTAGTAGTAGTAGTAGTAGTAGTAGTAGTAGTAGTAGTAGTAGTAGTAGTAGTAGTAGTAGTAGTAGTAGTAGTTAGTAGTAGTAGTAGTAAGTAGTAGTAGTAGTAGTAGTAGTAGTAGTAGTAGTAGTAGTAGTAGTAGTAGTAGTAGTAGTAGTAGTAGTAGTAGTAGTAGTAGTAGTAGTAGTAGTAGTAGTAGTAGTAGTAGTAGTAGTAGTAGTAGTAGTAGTATTTGCTTCGGCACTTGGCATCCAGCTTGTTTCCTCCTTGAAGCAAGCCTTCTGGCCGTGTTGTGTCTACCTCTCCCGTTTTGGGTGCTAAGGTGTCGCAAAACAACCTCGATCGATCAAGAAGAATCATATTCACTACTCAGCAACATAAATTCCATCATGCCCCCGCAGGGTATTACGTGAGAGGGATCGACGGTCTTTTGATTATTTCTCGCATGATGAAACTTTCTGCGGCTTCACAGACGAATGTAAGGTAGTTTCGATCTGTGCATCTGTCTTCCGCAGTAGAGAAAGCAAGTTTTCCTGCTGCAGCTTGCGTCTTGAGCCTATTAAGGGCACGACCAACAGCAAGAAACAGTTTATTGGCGGGACTGTCTGCATTGATAAAAAAACACTTCAGCCCTCGGCTCTGCATGTAATCGAGAAACGGGGTTGTTGAAGGGCAGGCTGCAGGCAGCGAGTGAGCACCACCCTTTGGGCCTTCAAATCTGTTAAGATCATAAATCAATCAGATCCCCTGTTCTCAAAATATGAGTTCAAAATGATATATTCAGTCTCCAATTTTAACAGTCAGGTGGCGATCGCGCGAGCCCGCGCAGGTCAAATTTGTGTGCCGGGTCCTGTCTGGGGCCGCGGCTAAACGCCAGTAAGAGATGGAAGAGCGAACATACGTCAGTATCCGTCCTGAGACTAAAGAAAGGGTTGGTAGGTTTGCACCATCATGGTGCTTGTTCGGGTTTCCAGCGTGATTTTATGCGCTTTCAATTGGTTGCGCAGTCGGAGCATTTGGCAAATCGAGGTTTGCGCATTCTTTTTCGAGGCTCTCCCCTCACTCTGTTTTCCCTGCCGTGGCTTGAAAGAAGTCGCGGAACTTGGTCCCAGTGCGGGTCAAGACTCGCGAGAAAAACTTGGAGGCATTCCGCTTTCGGGGTTTCTGTGGTCCGTGGCTGTCTGGTGCTGCTGTTCTGCTTCGGTCAGTCTCCGAGTTGCAGGCACACCGACTTCAGACCTCTTGTGGAAAACAAGACCGTCGGCATGCCAGGGTTGTAACCCTAGGGCATCTTCATGATCGAGCGGATTGTCACCCGTCGAACTTTGCATTCGCACATGTCCCACTACAGAGGAACCCCTCCCCCCCACGCTGGCACTAACCTTAAATCCTAAACCTGAAGCCCTAAACCCGAACCCTGGACCCTACGCCCGACAGTTGCAGATCCGACAGAAAGCTTAAACACTAGCACTCAGGCCAACCGTGGCTGATCCAAACGTTGGAACAGCGATGCGCGCACTCAGCACTGTAGCATTTGCTGGCGTGAGTGGAGACAATCTTGACATGCCTCAAAACCGCAGCCAAACAAATCAGATTTTGCGGTTCAACGTGTTTTAACAGCTGTTTCCAGATGCTTGATTGTGGTTGCTGCCCAGTGACGCGGTCCAAGAGGCTACAGCAACACTGACATATTCGCATGTTGAAGCATTTCCACGACATGCCTGCCGCTGTAGAATTGGTTTACCGTATTTGTGTTATTGTTGATGGCTTTGGGTTCAGAGCTGTAAACATTGGGTCACATGGCAGTTTGTGGGATGCATGTATTGCACAACCCATAACTATAACTGCACAATGAAGTCACAACTTGTTTCCAATGCAGCATGGTTGGACTGGGCGTGCGTGCGGGCATGAGTGCCATCATGACGTCAGTCCTTGTGCGCCTGGATGGTTTGTTGGTGCAACACACCCAGTTGCATACATAGGGCACGCATGGTATGCGCAATGTTTGCCAGGTGGTCAACAACAATCCGGACAATCGGCCAGTTTCTCACGCCGTGACATTCTGCTCCTGACGTGGTTTGCCGCATGCGGTGAAGATTGTCTTGGTCGTTTCGGGTCCAAGCAAGCTGCAACAAAATGCACATCCAGCAGATTTCGGGCCACACAGCAATCTCAGCTCCATTTGTATTGAAGATTCAGCATAACCGTTTGCTTGAGCTTGGGAACGATGATGATAGCTCGGCGGAGTAGCGTGCGCCAACATTCAGGTTGTTTGCTCAGATTTTGTCTTTTGACGCAGGTGCATCGGATGTTTGTGCATTGTAGCTTGCTAGTCAGGTTTTGCAGCTTTCGCGCTGCCTTGTCCAAGTGGAAATTGTTCGGAAGCACATCTGTCCTTTAAGGCCGAGACCGGCATGATCCGCAAACAGCAGGTCGGTTGAGCTGTTGATTATCATTGCGACAGGCCGGGGAGCTGTGTGTCATCTTGGTGCGCTTGACCGCTTGACTTCCAACACTTGCAGGTTTCTGGAAATTGAAATGGAGCCACACTCCGAAGCATTTTTGCTTGAGGCTCTGCAAAGAAACAGGTCGGGTTCCTCAGACTCAAAGACATTGCCGAGCTTCAGACCCGTCTTAGGTGATTTTGAATTCAGGTTCCTGGCTGTCTTGAATGATGATGAGTTGTTGTCCCTGGTTCACATGATGGAGCTCGAAGCGACGGATTAGGGGAACGGAATGTGGCATGGGTTTTCGAAGACGTCTGTTTTACGAGTGACGGCAATGCAGGAGATGATCCCGAATGCTGCCGGAAATCTCTTTCAGGAGGGCACAGTGTCGGACACCATCTACGTGGTTCAGGCTTTCTGGAGACTCGCACTCGGGTAGATTGTTCTGAAGTTCTGACATGACCGGATGCAGGAGGGATCTTTGAACGTGACTGTCGCAGGGAGGCTCTTGTTTGCTGCAGTCCTGCTCTTGCTGTTCAGCTGTGAAGCGTTGCCCGCTTTTGACTGAACAACTCGTGTGTGGCAGGCTCCTAGAAGTCCTTGGGGTTGGTGCGTGTGTCGGTGTCGAGGGGGTGTTCACGGCTCAGCGCTGCTCTTTCTGTGGGCATTGTGCGATTGGGTAGTGCTTCAGACACTGAGGCTCCGCGGTACACAGGCCCAGGCCGTCTCCATCGGGTCAAATGCTGCAGTCCTGTGGTGCGCGGCTAGTTCGACGATCACAAGGCCATTCTGCGAGAGCTGAAAAGATGTTGTTTTCAATTGTCCATCTGCTTCATCGACCTTGCAATGATTTGCAATGTCCTTTTTACAAGCACTAGCAGTTCCGTGAGGCTGCTGGAAGCACACGCGTCCAGGCAGAGGCCTTAGCCGCCTTAGTGAGTCATTTGAGACCCCAAGCACAAGCTCAGTCTGCAAATGTCTAAGGGTAAAAGCAGAGACACGGCCTCTTGGCTTTGCTGGGCTTCAGGTTTGACCGATTTGGAGTTCCATCCTGTGGTTGCTATCTTCCATCAGAATGCGAACCCACCTCTGCTGATGGCCATGCAGGAAGTTCATTGACCGTGTGCGACTGTTTGACTTCTTGCCAGATGAGAAGAAGGCTTCTGCGGGGCTTGTTGGATAAGTTGCCTGCTTGTCGTGGTCGTGATTGCAATGCTGGCCCATGCTGTTGCACATTGACATCATTTCCTATGAACCTGGTTGCAGGCCTGCCTTTCCGACTTGAGGGTGCATCATGAGGTCCGAATGGTTTTGTTCATCAGCGAGTCCGAACCCTTAGCACTGAAGGTTCTCCGTGCCGGAGATCGTGTCATCGCCTTGAATCTCTTCATGGGGGCAACAGCTATGGACGTACCATTTTCTTGGTTTCTTCCAGGCCATGTCGACGGGAGATATGCCGCTGGCCATCTTCATTGTGAAAACGGGCAGGTGCAATCAACCGCACTCCTTGTGTTGCAAGGAATGTTTCCAAGTCCATGGATGTTGCCGTCAGGCTTTCTCGTAAGATGGGTCAAAGCTTTTCACCGTACCCCGGAGAGCATCCTGGCACGAAGAGGCACAAAGGTGTGGCTGGTTCAGGCTTCAGAAAGCTTAGCCGCCCATCCTCCAGGATGTGCACCTATTCGCCCGGAGAAGTCATTGGTGCTGGTGCATATCTTTCCAACCTTTCTGAGCGACATCTTGGTCCAGTGAGGTCAGGGAGATGTGCATGTGCATCACTGTTAAATGCCAAACTCTTTTCTCGTCTGGAAGCTGCAGTGCAGGGCAGATGTTACGGCCGAGAAGAAATCCACATTGCTATCCTTAGACCTGAAGGAGCTGGAGGAGGCCGTAAGTCATGCTTGTCGTGGCCTTGCAAAAGATTGGATACTACCCTGCTCAGCTTTTGGGGGATGACCTCGACGAGTGCTTACAACGTGCTTTCATGGCAACTTGCCTGCAAGCTTGCAAGTCGTCAAGACTTGATGACACTTCGTGTCATCAACGACAGATGCAATGTCTAAGAAATGGTGAGAGAATATGCGAGATGGGGGAGACAACATAGACTGCCAAAATACATCCCGTGGCATCCGGGACCCGTAGGTCTTCGGCATCAATCAGCTCCCGTTCCTGGCAGGGCTCACTGCCAGGCAGAAACATGTCATCGTCAAAGCCATGGAGGTGAGGCGTCACGGTGTTGCTTCAAAAGTGCTCTTGCTTGAGCTGGCACAGGTGCGGAGGTATGGCGCTGGTGAACAAGTTTCTGATGTGCAGCCCTGGCCCCAGCTACTCCCTAGCTGCCCTAGCTTGAAGCGCCCACATGCGGATGCAAGTCTGTACTTCGCGTGCACATGCTCTCATGCTCTCAGGTTTGCCATGGTTTTTGATGGCAGCTTGCTGGTGCAGCAAGGGCTTCGTCCAGTGTTGGTTGTTGCCTGAGCAGATTTGAGCTCCACTAGCCAGCAAGAGGTGTTTTGGCTTGTCATCTGCGTTCTGCACCTCTGCGGCCTTTCGATCTTGACTAGGAACTTGATTTCGCTGACTACTACTTTGACTCAACACTGTTCTCAGCCCAGGATGGGCTGCCAATGACTCGGGTTCCAAGCGGTCTGAGCTATCGAGCTTCAAAACATGTGCTCGGCGGAAGGATGATGCCGAGCGAGCAGATGAAGAGCTGAAGGAGCTCTCGCACTCACAATTCGCATCCAAAACTACAGAGCATAGCAGATCAGGGCGTGGAATACGAAGGCATGCGAAAACGAACGTTTTGTGACAACTGTTTCGTGAATTGTGCCGGAGGAAGGCGACTTGGACGAGGAAGCGAAGGCCACAACAATTTCTACCATTGTAATTGTTTTTGGGTTGTTGAGGCTTGCAGTTTTCGGTTCTCGGGTTTACATAGGTTTAGGGTTGAGGGTCGGGTGCAGGTGAGGGTTCAGGAGAGTAAGGGAGTATCATACGTATTTGCCAATATGCCTATACCTATTTATCTAGATTGTGCTCTTTCTGACTACATATTTGACATCTGTCGATGTCTCTAGACATCTCTAGAGATCTCCAGTTGTCTCTAATATTTCTTTGAATATGTATGTGTATATATATATATATATATATAAAATACATACATAAATAGACAAATAAATACATACATACATATATATATATATATTCAGATAAACATAAGCCGTGATCAGAGGTGTCTCTGTACATCTGCATATGCTTGTCTCTATACCGCCATATCTATACATCCATGTACGTGTCTATATCCATATGTACGTATTATGTCTATGTTAACGTATATCCGTGTCTGCAGTGGTATTTGTATCTGGGTCTCTTCTATTTCTATCTATACCTTCATGTTTGTCCCTCTTCATTTTGTCTGTATGTCTCCATTTACGCCAACTGCTGTCTATTTTCCATGTTGATTTCCATTTTTATGTTTGCATCTCTACATGGATACTTTAATCTTTCGAGCTTGCAGGGTGGCGTGCGCCTAGCTGGCGGAGCTTCTGGGGTTCGCTTGGCCACACTCGCAGCACGTAGTGCCAAGAAGGCGTTCAAGGCACGATGTTGCGTGGTAGCAGAAATGTGCTGTAGTAACTATACTTATGGTTCCATGATTTGTTGGAATATGTTCGCAGCGAACGCCGTGAGGAGATGGGCCTCTCGCCTGTTCACAGCGCTGAGGCTTGGCAGTTGTGCCGCTGGGGGTCTCATGGGCTTCGCCCACCCAGCTCAGTTTGAGAAGCAGCTTTTTTACAGCCGACATGAAAGAGCACGGTGTCGGTGTCGAAGGACATGAATGACATCGCTCTGGAGGTTTTGCAGGCTTGCTGGGGCTGCTGCGTCTCTCTGTATTCCACCAATACATTGATGATATGCAAGACGTGGTGCCTGAGAGATGCGCTTTGAATGCAATGTCCAGGCAAGGCGTGTGTCTGGGTCTTATGTAGAACAGTGCTTCTTCCTCCAATCCTCCACACTAACTTGAAGGTCACTGTCTGATGTCACTGAGGTCTGTCCTGAGACATCTTTCGGGTGCACAAATTGAACGACTTGTCAAGCTGCCACATCCTGAAGAGAATCAGTTCATGGCGTTTATGCCGCATGATCCATGCACACACCTCCCATATGCAACTCCCCACACCTTTACTGTGGACCTTTGTGGATCCATGGTAAGGTATTGGCACAGTTAACTGTTTGTGATTCTCAACGTCTCCGACCCTCAATCCATGCGAGCTGCACCATGGAAGGATTCAGGGTTTAGGGTTTAAAGCGATTAGGGGTACGTGTTGGTTGAGGGGTACATGTTGAGGGTTGGGTTTAGAACTCGAAGGTATTACTAAGAATCTCCGGGGCCCGCAAGTCAACGAAACACAGCTGAATTATGGATGCTATTCAAGATGCTCCCACTCCCACCTATGTCGGGGTTCAGTTTTCGGGACCAAAGTGCTGTATTTGAGTGAAGCTTCCTTAGTGAGGCCTCTTGGTGTGAAGTTTAGGTTGAGGTTTCGCGGGTTTGCTACATGGAATCACGCGCGTGCGTGCATGCACGTTTACTTGCAACCCTTTGTGCCATTTGAGATGTGCCAAGTCAAGGTTGGTGCCGCGGGTCTACGCATCTGGCGCTTACATCTTCGAAGAGGTGCATGAACCACTCGCAAAGCTGAACAGTTCTCTCCATGTAGGGTCAATCCCGGATCAATCCCGGGCTTTGCAAGGGAGAAATTGGAACTTCCTTCTACATCGTGGCAAGTGGCCAGGTGCAAGCACTTGAGCACATGTCAGCGCTGATTGGCAATGTGGTCATGTGCGGTCTATTTCCCTACTGTCCTTGAGGTGCAGGTGCTGATCAATGGGAAACCTGTGCGCACGCTGGCAAGGCAAACCTTTAGCAATGAGCTACAGGAAGATTCGGTAGTATGCGATGCCTTTCATGGGGAAACTTTTCGAAACCGGAACTTCACCGAATTGGCTTAGAATCGTATTGTGATTACTTGAAATGCAGGACGAGGAAAGGGCGGCAGAGGATTTTGCACCTGAGCCTTTTTGAGTTTCGCATTTGTATTGGTGATTGTGACTCCTTGCAACCCACAGTACTTGTTTCTCAGTGTCCGTTTTGCAAGCCTGCTCTTTCACTTCTGCCGCACTTCTGCCCCTGTCAACCAGCTTCGACAGTGTGAGTGCCCTGCTCCGATCTCCTGACTTGAGAAACTCTGACGGATCGTTCCGCATGATTTTCGGTGCAAGCGACCTTTGTGCTCAGCTGTCCACGTACGTAGCAGAAGACGTCAAACCCTTTAGCACTACACAAAGGGAAGCGTGTGCGTGGAGTGAGCATGCGCTCTCAGCAGTTCTTGGTGACGGCATGTTTGGGAAAGCATGTTCCTGATTTCTGGCCTCGGCAGTTGCGGTTCTCGGCGGGTTTACATGGTCATTCGACTGCAGGCATGGCCACTTTGGAGAGCGGGCGCTGCTTTTCGAGGTGGCTGTATGGTCGGTATAAAGCACCATGAAACACATGAATTCTTGCGCTTTGCTCGAGCCGCCATTGTCAGGAGCAACGCCGCACAGCCTCAGTGCGTGTACTGAGCAATGAGGTGTCGATGGGGCTCAACAGGAATTCATCATTCCAAGAGTATGTATGCCTCAGGCAGAACTTTGGTGCCTGGAGAAGTCTGCCTTTGAGGAAGTTCTCACGGACCACCTGAGGGAGGCCTGCCTGCCATGCCGTTGCCTTCTTGAGGCGTTCAGCGGTCCATCTCTTCCCTCCTTGTGGTCTGGGTTTCCTCATTCCTCATGTTCTTTGCGAAGAAGAGGCGGCAGAAAAACAAAAAGGCTCTGATTTCTCGCCTATCGAAGCGGTTGGGTACAAACTATGCAAGACGACAGCACAAGCGACAGTACCGACACAGGCCCGGACAACCCAGGATCAGGTTAAGCAGGTGCTGCTGGAGCTTTGGAAGCTTGACACATCCTTCCTTTCTTCAACTTCGTGTACACGTTAGACCTAGTTTGTTGATTTTGTTGCAGGAGATCATGCGAAGAATTGAGATTCAGGACTTCCGCAAGTTTGAAGGTGCACTCCACAGAGAATCAGCATGGTTGGCAGGACTCGCAGACGGACCTGAAAGACTTGTGCCATGTCCGTGTAATTGGCATTGGAGGCTTTGGTCACGTCAGGCAGCATCACGTGCACAAGTTGTGAGCTTTGTCTTTCAAACTATTCTCCCGCGTCCTGTGCCCAGAGCTTGCACAGGCTTGTGGAGCATCGACGCACAAAGCTTCGGTTCTCTGCCTAGTGATCACTGATCAGACAATTGTGTTGTCGCATTTGCGGTTGAACTGTTCAACGTGTACTGAAGGTATGCGTTGAAGCAGGTCAAGAAGGCACCTTGCTGCTTGAGGTCATAGCTACCAAGTGAACAGTGCACACTGTGCATCCGCATGCATCCGTCGCATAGTTTCGCTGTTGTACGGGCAGGTAGACGGCTGCGTCCCAGAGCATGTTCGTTGGAAGCCTAGGGCGGGAGTTACTAGTAGGTGCATCTCTTACAAGTTGCGGGTGAGAATTGCTGTACTGTCCAGGCGGCGAGTGCGAGCTGCTTGCTGAGATGGACCTGGGAATGTGTGCAAGGGCGTTCCATCGTCAATTCCGATCATGTTTGCCTGCATATTAACCTGTTTAACGTTCGATGACATGCAGGACCATCCGTTCATTTTGGACATGTTGCAAGTGTATCAGCCTCACTTGCTTTGCAAGGCACTGCCACAAGTGTTGTGCTTGCGCACTCGACAAAGTGAGGTATGAGACGACCCAAAGCTATTACATCCTGATGGAGTACATCATGGGAGGAACGCTTCGTTCCGTCTTGCAGGCCCCAACATGGCACTTTGGCCAAGAAAAGGCTCTCCTTCAGGATCCTAAGGCCTTACGTTCTAACGCCCTAAGGTCTTAAAGGTCTTAAAGGTCTTAAAGGTCTTTAGGAAGGATAAGCTCCGGCCATGTTTTTACAAGCAACTTGAGAGCTAACAGAGGGATCCGTCCGCAGAAATGAAGGACAAACTGCGCGGATTGGTGATCTTCTCCAAGCTGTGTGAAAGACGGGAATGAGGAAAAGGAACCAGGTTCGTCTTCTGCCGCATGCTCCGACACGGCCCAGAATGAAAGGCTAGCAAGCAAGCAAACGGACTGCTGCATAATGGGCCCAGCCATCAAACTCAAGCAGCGCCACAATTTACTGAGCGCTGCATCGGCAATTAGAGGAACAGGTCCTCAACTGAAGGTCTAAGCAAGGTGCAACAGCAGTCAAGCCTCCTTGCATCTGTCGGATCAAGCGTTTGAAAGGAACTTCAGGCAACGTCTGGATGACTGTTGCGGAGGTCGTGAACCTTTTCCTCCGGCGATGTTTTTTCAAGGGTGGGGGGGGGGGGGGGGGCGGTTGGTAGGAAACCCTTTCTTTGCCATTTTTGAGAAGAAAGCTTCAACACCACTGCGTTCTCGAAGAGAGAGGGCCTGGGCTGGGGAGATCGATGGAACAAAACGACAGGAATGGAAGAAAGGAAGAAAGGAAGAAAGGAAGAAAGGAAGAAAGGAAGAAAGGAAGAAAGGAATAAAGGAAGAAAGGAAGAAAGGAAGAAAGGAAGAAAGGAAGAAAGGAAGAAAGGAAGAAAGGAAGAAAGGAAGAAAGGAAGAAAGGAAGAACGGAAGAAAGGAAGAAAGGAAGAAAGGAAGAAAGGAAGAAGGGAAGAAGGGAAGAAAGGAAGAAAGGAAGAAAGGAAGAAAGGAAGAAAGGAAGAAAGGAAGAAGGGAAGAAGGGAAGAAAGGAAGAAAGGAAGAAAGGAAGAAAGGAAGAAAGGAAGAAAGGAAGAAAGGAAGAAAGTAAGAAAGGAAGAAGGGAAGAAAGGAAGAAAGGAAGAAAGGAAGAAAGGAAGAAAGGAAGGGAAGAAGGGAAGAAAGGAAGAAAGGAAGAAAGGAAGAAAGGAAGAAAGGAAGAAAGGAAGAAAGGAAGAAAGGAAGAAAGGAAGAAAGGAAGAAAGGAAGAAAGAAGAAGAAGAAAGGAAGAAAGGAAGAAAGGAAGAAAGGAAGAAAGGAAGAAAGGAAGAAAGGGAAGAAAGGAAGAAAGGAAGAAAGGAAGAAAGGAAGAAAGGAAGAAAGGAAGAAAGGAAGAAAGGAAGAAAGGAAGAAAGGAAGAAAGGAACGCTCAAAAGAGAGAGAGAGAGACAGAGAGAAAGAGAGAAATAGAGAGAGAGAGAGAGAGAGAAAAACAGAAAGGCCGAAAGCACAACAACACACAGAAGTACGGAAAGAAGAAAGAAACACAGAAAGAAAGAAAGAAAGAAAGAAAGAAGGAAAGAAAGAAAGAAATAAAGAAATAAAGAAATAAAGAAATAAAGAAATAAAGAAATAAATAAATAAAAGCAATAAAGAAATAGAGAAGGACACGCCGAAAGAAGCAAAGAAATACAAAAAGAAACCAAGAAATGAAGAAATACACAAATAATGGAATCGAGAAAGAAAGAGAGAAAGAAACAAATACAGAATTAAGAACAAAAGAAAGAAAGAACTAACGAAAGAAAGAAAGAATCAAAGAAAGAAATGCGATTGGGGCCCACCCAGCCCTCCGCTTTTTAACAGTCATGCCTAGAAGAGAACTTGCATTCAAAACAACGGAAAGCTTTCAACACCTTTTCTTTGTAGGGAAAACCAAGGAAATTGACCTGGGTTATGAGCTTCTGTCTGCCGGGCGGGCCACACCTGCACAGTCCCGCAGGCCAAAATTGAAAAGGATATGTCTTGGCAATGGTATGCAGAACGAATCGTGCATGGTTGAAGTTGCTGACGTACATGCTTTGACGTCGTTTTGACCAGTTGACTCAAAGGCAGCTGGGAAGGTCACTTGTGGTCGGTTTATATTGTGTTCACATTGTTCCAGTGCCGGAAAAAAGCCAGCATATTGTGAACTATCCGTGAATTGTGTGAGAGGCCGAAAAGATCCTGCACCAGGAGGCCGCTTGCTTCTATGCTGGCTCGCTGATCCTAGTCCTGGAGGTGCTGCACGACAGGCGCGCCGAAGTGACCAGCGGGTGTTCAGCATGTTCCAGAAATGAGTATCAAAGGTTTTTGCAACATCCGAAGTGTTGAATTCGATTCGAGTTTCTGTCCTGTCTTGTATTCTGTTTTTTTGGGGCTGCCCTTCTGAGAAATTCTTTGACTCCTTAGACTCGAGGAACATCGTCTATCGGGACCTGAAGCCCGAGAACGTCATGGTCGATGCCAGAGGCCTCACGGTGCCGCGCGCACTGTACTTGAGAGTATGGTCGTTTGGCCTGGTTTTGTGCGTCGCATTTCGTCAGTCCGCCCGGTTTCCCCACCCTCGGTGTGGGGCTGGTATTCTTTAAATCACCATTCTCATCGCCTCAAAGCCCCGGCTGAGGCCCCGCCCCCAGGCCCCAGAGAAGCCTGCAGAGAGTGCCGTCGAGTATCCCAAAGAAGTTCCAGAAAGGCCGGGTATCCCGGAATGGCCCACAAAGAAGCCCGCAGAGAGCCGCAGAGACTTTCCGGAAAGTCCCACGATGGAAGTCTGTCCGTACTTGTCGACAAGGGAGGATGGCTTCGACATCGGCTGTAGGGCGGCGATGATCGAAGTGAAGTGAACAATCTATTTTTTGAGCCGCCTCTCTCCTTTCGCCCTCTCGTCAGGCTATGTGAAGCTCATTGATTTTGGCATTGCCAAAAGACTCGATGAGGACTTCCCCAGCACCAAGCGCCAGGGTCCCCTTCGAATGGTTTTTCTAGACCCGCAGGATGGTCGGACTTTTACCTGCATCGGAAGCCCTCACTACATGGCGCCCGAGGCAAGTTTCCTTTTCTTGGCAGTAGGAGTTTCTGAGTGCCTCAAGCCATCAAAGATCTGCCAGGCCATTCTGAGCCGGAGGGAGGGCTACGGCACTGAGGCTTCGTGTTGCCGCCAAGGGCATACCCGACTTTTCACATGCCAAGTGGACACTGTAGGAGTTTTTGCAGCCACAAGGGATGAGCTGAACTTGCTTTTTCCCTCAGTCTTGCTGCCGGTTCGTGTGCGTGTTTGGTACAACCACCCCGCACCCCAAGCCGTGTCTCCGAGCCAATGCCCACAGCTTAGTACCTTGGTGAGGGAACACAGGGAAGAGTTTCTGTTCCTGTGAAGTGGGCTGTCTTGCCTAAGAGCCCAAATCCAACCCAAGCCGCCGGCTTTGGGGGGCGGGCCCATGGCGGTTCGGGTGGCGCTTTTCCCGGAGCGTCGAACTCTTGCTGGATCTCCCAATGACGCAAGCGGAGGGGGGAAGAGATGGCGGGAGGGAACGTTTCCGTTGGCCGGAGTGCGCCCCAGGCCGTCCACTCACTCACTCACTCACTCACTCGTGTTGCCGCCAAGGGCATTCCCGACCTTTTTGTGTTTGTGGCGAACGGTTTTGGGCTTCGCCCTGGAGCATCGCCATTTCAGCGCCTTGGAGCACAGAGGGGCACGGGATCCGATGCATTTGTAAATGCCGTCTCGTGTGGTCTGTGGTCTGTTATTTCTGTCAGATGCAAGAATGTCTTGCGGTCGTGTGTTATGCTTTGACAAGAATCTGGAATCAAGTACAAAACATCATCTGCCGAGCATGACAGAAGCCAACTCTCATACCTAGCATGCCCCACCATCACAAGGCCTCAGGCACACCTGGGAAATGAAGACGTTGCAGCCTGAATGCTTAAGCAGCAGCCGAAGCCTCGACATCCCTGGTTGCGGTGCTACTCGAATCGGTTGACGTCGCATCCCTGCGTGGCACTAGAGATGTTTTGACTTGACTTAGCACCAATTTTGTCGACTTAATTTCACCGTGCCCCGCAGTTTGAGATCAACGCGTGGACGGCTGCGGCTGCAATCTTGAAAGCAAGTGCATGCTTTTGGGAATACGAGTGTTTCTGCTTCTGCTTTAGTAGCACGTGCAAATGCGGTGTGTTTGGGGGAATCAAGGCCTCGAAACACTGTAGTTTAGGATGTTTATCGACATGTCACTAGCAAGAGAGTTGGGACCTTAAAGTTTGGCCACACAGTTCGCTCTGGTCTCTTTTCCAGCAAATGGCCCCAGAGGTGCCATCATGTTGTCCTCTGGAAGGTTGAACATCTTTGTGTTACATTGTACAAGAGGCAACAACGCTGTACATACCAGTGTTTTTTGGGCATGTTCACAAAAGACATGAATGCTTGTGACAGTTCGTCTCAGAAACCTCACGCATCCAATCACAACGCACGCTACCACCCCTCCCCAACCCCACTGCCCCGTGAAATCCTTCCGAATCGCCGCAAACAACCAACGTGGTTAATGCGCCTCGAAAAATGTTTTTGTGACACGTTGTTTTATGGCTTTCAATGCAAGAACTATTGATGTCAAGGGGCCCTGCGAATCGCCGGCGCAGGCCAATCGTAAACCCTAAGCCCTACGCCCTAAACCCGAAACCCTACACCCTAAACCCTAAACCCTAACAGGCTACAGTGCAGCCAGCAGCATCAACAAAACATTCCAACAAACACAGTCCCAAAATAGCTCTGGACCCGTCTAGGGCGTTTGGGAAACTCCTTTCCTTTCTTCAGGAGTGTGGCTTAGCTGAGCACGTTTGTCATGTCGACCCAGCAAGTTGGAGGTTGACACCTGGTCGCTGGGGGTGCTGCTCTTTGAAGCACTTTGTGGTCAACAGCCCTTTGCGGCATCTTTGGATGACAAGCAGGCCATCATTGCTTATTGCCTGTCACGATCATGTTCTTGGAAGTCGCAGAACAATGCAGTGTCAGGAGATCTGGGAAGCCGTGTTGAAGCAGGCGATGGGTCAGCGATGTTGCTTGATTGAGGGTCTCCAGTCTTCGGCTTTGTCGGGCATCCACGTTCGTCACGCTGGCTCCCAGCAAGTTCTGATGAGTTTTTAGATCGCCGCCATGGTTGGCTTTGGCAACATGTAGGATAAGGGGAAACTGCACTTGGCTGGCCAAGAGCCGATCCGAATCCCAGTACAATCGAATCGATCGGGGCTCATTGTACAATAATGAGTTTCTCAAGAGACCAACCCGAGACTATCCAGGATGCACTAGGCGAAAGTACAATATCACGGCACAGCACAACACACAAAAGCCGCCGATGCTAATCAGCTCTTCTGTTACCAGCTCGACGTGTTTTTGCTTTTAGAGTCGATTTTTCTGGCATGTTGCTGTGAAATCAATCAAAACAACAAAACACCGCACTCTTCAGATTCTTCAGGCCCTTCAGGTCTCTTCAGTTTGCCTCTCCATGTTGCGTCTCCCTGAGTCTCGAGCAGTTTGTTCAGGAGCTGGTCTTTCCCGACAAGTACAGAGATCCTTGCGGTCGTCAGCTGCTGCAGGAGATGCCGTGAGTTACATACGTTGCAAGACATGCAGCTCACTTTGGCGCCCAGGGTATGTTGGAGAAGAGTCCCGAAAATCGTCTTGGAGCTGGAGTGTTTGGTTGGGATGACGTCAAGGTGCCCGCACGAGCCATGCATCTTGCTGTTTAACTACCGGCTCAGCCAATGCATTCACCGGGTTGGTCGCAGGAACGTGTAAGTGTAACGCAGGAACACGACTTCTTTGCGTGGGGAGACGTGAGTCTCTTTGTGTGGGCCTTACCAATAGTTGATCTTTGAGCTCGTAGGGGCCCAGAGTCTTTCCATGCTTCACGCAAAGCCGCCAAGGACTGCATAGTGGAGAGAGTTCTTCATCCTCCGCATTTACCAAGAAGCACAAGCTTTGCTGAGCACTGCTCACAGGCTGGGCTTCCAGCCTTCAGTGTCATTAGTGTGTCATTGTGAAGTTCTCCGAAACATCCGGGTGCAGGAGCTAACTTTTGCTGATTGGCACGAAGAGAAGGAGATCATCCAGAGCCGAAGGCGCATGAACAGCATGAACAGATCATGAACATGCTTTGGTCGACTTTTTTGTCGAGTTTGTGAGGAGGTTCTGGCACTTCATCCTATAGAACATTGGATCTGTAAGTTCGTGCATCGCCGAACGTATTGCTAGAGGCTGGAATCAGTGGCAGCCATGGTCCGGAAACTAGGACCAAGTCAGATACACAAGGTTGTGGCTTCTACCCAAGAGCTTCGACGAACATCCATGTCTACATCATGAAGGGTAGGATGACACAACATGTTTACGGTTGGTTAGCTCAAGCTATGTGTCACAGGCATGCGCATTGTGCATAGAAGTTACCAAAAGCCATCACATGGACTTGTGGCGCAGCCCATCTGTGTTGTCAATACTATTGACATTTTTGGCTGCTGCAGGCTGGCAGCAGGGCTCAAATCGACGCACCGTATGCCGTATGCTGTTTCAGCCTTCGATAGCAGAGCCCGAGTGTGCTTCTGACGAAGCTCGGTTTTGGAAAAGGGCATTTCGCAACGAACCGTGGAGGACATGCCCTCAAACTTAGCACCGTTCACACCAGCAACAACTCTCGGCCTGGATGAAATGTCTCCATTTTTTCTCAGTGCCCTCTTGTTGCTCAGTGTGGTCCAGGAAGTTCAGCACCTACAGATGATCTTCGACTTGGAAGGCACAGCCATCAGCCGCCTGCCCCAAGCCCAGGACAGTGTTGTGTCCCTTGATCGGAAACGTAGCCTGTGGGACGTTGGTTGTGGACCACGCTAGTTACCTTTCTCTGTTATGCCGGAGGACATCAGTGGGGTGCCGTTCTGGTCACGAAGTACGCGTTGCACTGGGTTGCTGTCGAAGCGACCGCTTCTCGGCAAGTTGGCGAAGAGTCTTGCGGAGCTAATCGAGAGCGCGTAGTGGCGAATCAGCGGCTGCTCCCCCAAAAAGGTTCACAGATGATTTGAGTCGGCTCGGGGCGTGATTATCGACATTTCGACTCCTCAAACGGAACAAGTCGGATAGAGGAGGGGAACGGTGCACTCATGGGCTCCACCCTTGCTGTCGGCATGCACCTTCGAAAGTGTACCAGACCATCCAGGCCATTAATGTTTGTGCATGCATTTACCAGAGCATTTGTGCCTGGCCACATGTTCGACCACTACTACGCAGCTGTCTGGTCAGGATCGATTCTTAAAGATTTTGCACGAGCCCAGCATGCATGTGTGTGTATGTACATACATACATAAATTTTTTAAATACATGCATGCATACAGACATACATACGTAGTATCACATACATACATACATACATACATACATACCCGGAGAGAGTGTGCACCCTAAAGCCTAAACCTTCAGGCTTCAAACCGAAACCCAAAAGGTTCAAAGCCCAAACCCATAGCCGAACACCCTCAGTCATAAGCCCTCGAACCATGCATGAACATTACAACCCTAAGCCCTACAACCCTAAACCTAGGAGCCTTAGCTGGGCTTGGAGGGCTGTAAACCCTAGTGGCCTGAAAGCCCCTGGCTCTACACAGGTTTAGGGTTTAACCAGGGTTTAGGGTTTAGGATTTAGGGGGCGTCTGGTGGGCCCTAAACACGTAAACCCTAAACCTTTAAAGCCTGAATCCTTAAGCCCAGGAGCCTTAGCTGGGCGGGCTGAAAAGCCTTAGCTAGGCATCTGATGGGCTGAAAAGTGGGTTAAGGTTTGGGGGCGCCTGGTCGGCTGAAAAGCCCCGACCCTTTAATACAGATTTAGGGTTCAGGGTTAAGGCTTAGGGTTTAGAAAAAGGCCGCGGCCCAACTCGACGCTTAAGGTTCTTAAACCCCAAACCGTAGACCCTAGATCCCGATTCGTCTGGTGGGCTCAAAAGCCTCGGCCCCTTACAGGTTTAGGGTTTAGGGTTTAACTAGGGCAGCTAGGGTTTGGGGTTCAGGGTTTAGTATATCAGAGTACGGTTTAATTAGGGTTCAGGGTTTGCTGAACGCCGCGGCTCAACTTGACACTTAAAGCCTTCAATCCGAAACCCTAAGCCGCAAACCGTAGACCCGAAACCCGAGCTCTTAAGCCCTAAAACCCTAAAGCCAGGAGGCTTGTCTGGGCTTGGTGTGCGGTAAACCCTACCCCCCAAACCTTAAGCCCTAAACCCATTAACCCTAGACCTTTAAAAACCTAAATCCCTGAGGCCAGGCCGGCCCTTTGCAGGTTCAGGGCTTAGGGGTGAATTAGGGTTTAGGGTTTAGGGGCGTCTGGTGGGCTGAAAAGACCCTGCCCCTAATGGTTTAAGGTTTGGGGTTTATGGTTTAGGGGCGTCTGGTTGGCTGAAAAGCCCACAGCCAAACTCGACCCTTAAAGCCCTCAACCCTAGACCCGAATACCCAAACCGTAGACCCGAAACCTAAAACCCTAAAGCTAGGAGCCTTACTGGGCTTGGTGGGCTGTAAACCCTAAACCCTAAGCTCTAAACCGGTAAACTCTTAACCTCCAAAACCCTCTGGGCATGTGGTGGGCTGAAAAGCCCCAACCCAACTCGACCGTTACAGCCTTCAACCCTAAATCCTAAACTCCAAACCGAAGAACCGAAACCCTATATAATTTTTGAGCCCTAAAGCCCTAAAGCTAGGAGGCTTATCTGGGCTTGGTGGGCTGTAAACCCTGAACCCTCCCTAACCCTTCAACCCTAAACCTCTAAACCCTAAATCCCTGAGGCCCAGGGGTGTCTGGTGGGCTGAAAAGCCCCTGGCCCTATACAAGTTTAGGGTTTAGGGTTTAATTAGGGTTTAGGGGGCGTCTGGCCGAAAACTGCGTTGGCGGTGAGAGCCTTCAGAAACTTGGCCGTTTCGGGTGGCGTGGGTGGTGGGGGTGTGGGCATCTTTGGCGAGCCTGTGCCATGTAGGCGTTGGCAGGGGGGTTGGGGTGGTGAGGGTGGGAGCGTGGCGAGGGCGGTGAAGAGGTGGAACGAGTGTGGGGCTGCCGCAGCCAGCGAGAGGGGCAAGACAAAGACGCCGACCCCCGTGGGGGTCGGCGGATTTCGCTTCCGATGCCTGGCTGTCCACATTGGGCAGCGCATCGTTTCATGTTTTATCACGACATTCCTACGGTCGGCATGAACCCTTTTCGCATATATCGCATGTGCAGATCCTGTTTTGACTTGACGTGTTCTAAGGCTATGGGCGTGGATGGGCATCGGGAACTTCCAGGAAGGACCATGAGTTCAATCCCCGAGTCTTCCGTGATTTGCCACATCTTGCCATCTCTTGGACTTCTAACAAATATTGCGAAATTGTACACTCAGACGTATGCAATTCGGGTGCTGTACTCTGGAGCTTTCGGGTTCAAGCTTTGAACTCAAGAGACCCATGTGTCGAAATGCAGTGCCGTCAGGGATGCAAGGATAAGTCTGGATGCAGTCGGACGCAGTCTTGCTTCCCCACTTCAGCTTCCGCTTTCTTGACTCCATCGAGCCATGGGTGGCAGAGAAAGCAAGCCCGAACCTCCCAAGCCTGCTCCAAACCTGCAGGAGCTTGCTTGTCATACATGCCACCTTGAGTTCATCTTGAGAATCTTGCTTATACTCGTAGGCGCTGCAGGCAGTGCGATGCTGACAGGATGCTGCAACCAACTTGGAACAGAAAATCGAAGAGCTGGGAGCCAAAATTCAAAAGGCTGACGAGGAGGTGCCATGTGGGAAAGCATAGGCTGTTCATAGCATGCATAGGCTGTTCTTCATAACATGTGTTCAGTTTGAAAGATGCTCTCCGTCCGTTCCAGGCACGACAGTGGGTGGCTAAGCAAAGCAGCTTGGTTTCGATCGAAGGGAAAGGACTTTAACGGAACAGCTATTGTTGGCTAGTGTTGGCTCGTTGGCAGGGTCATCTCATCAGGCCACACTATGTACATGGAGTAGAACAAGCAGGTTACAAGCAGTTGACGGTTTGACAATGTCTCATACATTCTCCAGAAAAGGCAAGCCTGGGGAAGTCGGTCTGGCAAAATCGTGGGGTCGAGAGATGGAACATCGGGTTTGAGGGCCTTAGCAGCTGTAGCAGCTTCAGAAGTTTGCGTGGCTGAACTAAGCTCTGTAGACTTGACAAGCTGAAGTGCTTTCCAACAAAAATCAGAGACTTTCGGGCACGATTGGATCCAGAAGTGCTATGGTGACCTCCAACGCCAGGATTAGGGGCCACCATGGCCACTTGTTCACCGGAGATCTGGAGAACGCATCGGCATATCTGCACCACACTTCGCAAGACACGAAACCTGGTTTCCACTTCTTTCAGCATCGCGACCAAAATGCATCACCTGAAGGGTTTTATGTCGATACAGGAAGACCGTGGAACTGAGACGGTGCAGCTGCATGTTACCTTCCAGTTGTGTTTTCGTTGTGGGAGAGCCGCATGCCAAAGTTGGTCGTTCGTCTCTGCTTCAACGCACCCACCTCCTATGCTATGTTTCGGGATGGTCAGTGATGGATGCTGAAAACCGAGCCGGCTCTGTACACTAGATGAGATGCTGCGTATCGCTGCCCGACTTCGAAGATTTCGAGTGAGTTGCATATAGATGTGTTGCTAAGGCACCGATGCAACTGCCAAGGCCCGTGCCATGCAAGCCTTGAAGCGAATCTTGGCTTTTCTGAAAGACTGAGTGCGATGCCGTGTGTGATCGATAGCGATTGTCTTGTGATTGCGTCGGCGAACTGTGACCTGTCGGTAATAAGGCAAGAAGCTGTACGAGCAGCAGCGAGATCAGTTGGCCACGGTCCCAGCTTAAACATGGCATGCAGAAGACGCACAGATCCTTGTTGGGTATCTGCTCGCTAAACTCAGGTTGACACCCAGTTCAATGTGGAAAATCTTGCTTTCCAGCAAGAGCAGGCACCGGGTCGTGAATTTGTCTGCAATGCTCGGCATACCACGAGCGTTTCGATCACCCTCTCTAGCAAGATGTCGTCGTTGAACCGTTGAACTATGTACACACCTCCTAGCCTGGGTAAGACCAGTGCAAGGTACCAAAACTTGAAAAGGTACACACATGAAAGCAAGAGTGTAGGCCGGAGATCAGCAAAGGCTTCGTGACAGCTGCACACGGACACAGCAGACAGACAAGCCGGGCTCCGACCCAAGGAGGAAAGCCCAGATTGTGGGGGAGACAAGGGCTGCCATCGAAACCGAATCATTGCCCCAAAACTCCGCAGCTGTCAAAAGTCTCTCCCGGCCACCAGCCGATACCAGCCTATATCAAAAGTGTAGGGGAGTAAGCTGAGTGGTTCTTGCCTCTTAGGCTCCTAAAGGCTACGAGCCTACCTCGAGAAGTTGCAGTCAAGAAGTTGCGACGGTCAACCAAGCCATGTGGTTTGCTGCAAGTCAGGGGGCTTGGCGAGCGCGATTTAAAGTCAAACAGAAGTCAAATGAAATGGCATGTGAACAGAAGAGATGCCAGAAGCAGCCACAGGGCAAGACGAAGAGGAGTGGAAGGAAAGACGAGAGGGGTTTCGCTGCAGGACTTTTGTAAGCAGCGAAAAGACCCAAATGGGGAGGCAGACCAATCAGAGGGAGTGGCATTCCACTACGAGCCAACCCGATGGAAAGGCGTAAGCCGAGAGAAGCTCTGGGGCGAGGAGATGTTCTGTCATGGGGTGTCGCTGAAGTTTGGAATAGGATGTTTTGCCCACGGGTCATGGCTTCCGAAACCACATGAAGCTCAAATGAATCTCAAGCTTGAAGCAAGCCGGACTCAGAGGTGCACAAGTGCGCAGGGGGCTCGCACTTCTAGACTAAGAGTTGTTGTTGGCAGAACCCCCGGCGTTTGCGTTTACGCAATGCGCCAAACTGGCAGCAGGGTCAGTTTGCAGTATGCGCCATGCACAGCAGGCTGAGATCACTGCGGGAACTGTAGCGGCCATGAAGAAGGCCGGTGCGGTGGCCGACCCGGTCACAAGGAGGTAGACATGACAGAGGCACCCGATGATCCAGATGCCACGCAGGCAACGGACCAGCTCAAGAACCAAACGCAGAAAATAGGAGTGGATCAAGCACCTGCCTCAGCATGTTGCCTGTGTGAAGCCCAAGTGCCTGTGGTACTTCGGTTGGCCCCAGGTTGATAAGCTGACAGATGAGATGGCAGACATCGCAGCTGAAATGAAGGTTGGGCAGCCGTTGGACATGAGCCACTTTTGAACAAAGCAAGACTGCTTGCAGGACATCCAGTCGGCACTAGCTGCACCTTCGGCAGTGGGCTCCGCGGCAGAGGATGAAGCTGAGAAGGAACTGGAGGCCCGGAGCATCCGGGAGCCCAGCAGAATCCAGAAAAACAACCGTTGCTCTTGAAGTGATACTGTTGGCCAGGCATTGTATGCACAACAGCAAGACAAGGAGGCGGAGGAGGCACAGGTTGCAGGGATTTGTAGGGGAGACCTGTCATCTGCCTCGAACCTTTTTGGCCAGGCAATGAGCATCCTCGCGGCTGGAGGTGGTGGGTATGCAAGCACCACCCCGGCGCCTGCCGTGGCCGCCAAGGCAGCACCCAAGGCAACAGCATTGGGGGCTTGAGGCCGGTACATGTGATTTGCCTGTGACCATGTGGCTGCTGCATTGTGGATGCAATGAGGCTAGCCGCTAGCCAGTTGTCTAGGGCTTCGTGCTGGCAAAACATCTCGACCCTGACTCCCTGACTGGAAGGCCTGGTGTGGAGGAACTGATTGCAGCGGACTCCGCACAGAGAAGCGCGTTAGCCAAGCGTTAGCGCCATTCCCCGAGGGAAGTTGTGAGTGCAACGCAGAACCATCTCATCGAGTCGAGAGGGGCAGCCGGCGACGAAATTTGGAGTTCTGTTTTCCTGAGTAGAGCTTCTGATTTTGCAGGGAGGGCCTTGCTTGATAGCCTCCCTTTTCTGTTGATAGTCTTTAACCAGGCACCAGATTGCTGTGCTACAGCCCTTTAGATGCAGGATGAGATTGAAGATCACAACGCTTGATCAATCTGGTGTACTGGTCTTGCGCTCCGGAACAGCTTGCAGAAATCGGAGGGAACGTCGTCAAAGAAGGGCTACTTCACAGATGATCACTGGGTGGAGGAAAGGGAGGCTCCGCAACCTCTGCATGCATGGATGTGCAGGACGTTGCTGCCGAAGTGACCAAGAGCATCCAGGCTCGCCGATGCATCTGAATGCAGGGGCTTGCTCTGATGAAAAGTCACGGCCTGAAGGTGTTCGCGTTCGCGGCGATGATCTTGTTCGTGCGCGATTTCTCATGCAGCAGTCAAGTTTCCTGCTGTTCCTTCTAGCAGACAAGAGGTCTGGAAGTGTTGCAGTGACTCAAGATCCTTCACATGCTTTTCTCGCAGAGCCCGTTCGCAATATGCTGAAGCGTGCTCCTGCGTTTGCTTGCCTTCGGGCCTTTAAAGGCTGCAGGACATGCAGCGGAGATCGCGGGAGTGTCAAAATTGAAAAGTGTTGTTTGTCGAGATCTGCATGTTGTCACTCGCCAACGTCGAGACCTTTCGTCTCCCAATGCGGAGAGCTTAGCAGTAGGTTTACAGCAGTAGGGGAACAGGCAGGAATGCACTCGTCAGCAGGCAGCTGTGGCTTTGTGCCTTTTTGTCACTCGCGTGTCGAGGCCAGGCCGCTACACGCAGCAGCTCGTGTCTCGAGCGAGAGAGGCTTGAAATTCACATTTGTTGGTGAGCAGAGTCTTGTAAAGCGCTGATGCGTGTCGCTAGGCTGGCTTCAATGTTCACGAAGTACGCACCGTGCCGCCCTCAGCAGCCTGACCTGACAGGTGCAGCAGTAACCCGGCCCATAGTAACCTAACCCTGAACCCCGGGGTTTTGCTTCGCCGATGCGAATGCATGTGCTTGCATACGTGAGGTTGATGCAGTGAACGCCTTGGCCACGAGCCTTGCGCAAGATGAAGCGCGGGCCCATCATTTGCAAGATCGGATGGCGTTGACAGCCGCAAAATGCCACAAATGTCAGCAGGCTGCGGGTGACATCGGCCTCATTGTCTCTTGCGGTAGCTCTTGTCTCAGTGATGTCAGACTTCGATTTGAGAGGCATCACATGGCGTTCATTCAGTGTGCTCGGAATGGGTTCACAAAGACGAGAGGCCCAGTGGTCCTGACTGAGCCAGTGGACCTGCGGGCGCACATTGCCAAAACGCTCGTTTCTCAGGGTCCAGCCGTTGGCGTTTGTGGTAGCAACTTGAGAAGCCTTCTTGCAAGCATCCAGAACAGAGATGCTGTATCTGTTGAAGAAGAGCCAGAGCCCGAAGAATCTGAGTCATTGCCACGTTCGAATTGTGTGCAGACAGCCCGTCGGACATGCAGAGCCAACCTTGAGATGCCAGTACTGCCTATGCCTATGCCGCAAAGGAGAAGCCCCTCAGCTTGAACTCCTGAGCCCCTCAGCAATGGATTTCAAACTGCACCTAAAGGCTTCAACTCCGGAGACACTAGACTGGGCCAGAGGAACAGCAGTGCTAAGACAAGGGCCTCCCAGAATCTCGTGGCTGTTGCTGAAAGCGTAGAGGCCGGAAATGGGCTTATTGCTGAGGACGGCGGCAATGCTTCAGTTTCCTGATGCGCCCGGGCCTTGGGTGCTGTTGCGACGCCTGGAGGGGGTGTCCGAGTGTGTCCATCCGGCCGCTGTCTACCTGTCAGTCGGTCCACGTCTCTGTATTTTGTTAAGTTTTCTCAATTGAATCTACCTCTTCGCTGTTCTGTCCTGTTCGTAGTTTTCAGAGCATGTGTTTGTGCAGTTTGGTGCGCTTCCCATTGCACTTCGCAGTGCACTGCGCAGGCCTGTGGTCGGTGTGTGCTTTGGGATGCAGCTCCTGGCTCTGCTCTACGGTGGCAAGCTCTCGGAGCCGCTTTGCTGGGTTTCTTGCTCTACTAAGGGAACCTAACTCAGTCATTTCACCTGGCACTATTTAGATCCGCTCTCAGGCAGCGAGGAAGTGCCCACAGAGGGGAGTGACCAGGATGCACTGCGCACTTCGTAGACTGACCGGGCAGACCGCTGCTTGTGCAATGTGAGCTTGCAGGTGGACAGAGGTGAGACGTTCGCCGATGAAGTCTCGACTGTACGGCTGCCTCTTTGTGCTTGTTGGGTGTGGATGGCTCATGAGTTGGCTGATGCGAATTTCAACTTTTCTTGCTTTGCCGCTTTGCCCGTGACGGCCTGAGCAGCACAGCCAGCTCATAGGCTCAACATGGAAAAACGCTGCGTCGTACCGTGCCTTGATTGTCGAAATACGCGACCCTGCCACAATGTTATGTGACCCTCATGGCGTCAGCGACGTCGGCAAAGAACATCGGGTGCTTTGATGAAGGTGACTTCCCGCTATTGGTTTGTGATTGACGGCATTGAACATTGTCTCGAAGTGGCAACGTGAGTAGTGAGCAGGACTGAGATGATTGAGTAGGTCTGTTGCATGAGCTTGATGTCTGGGGAGGTGAAGACTGGCGGCAGCTCACCAGCAAGCAGCTGACGTCGGCGCTACGGGAGTTTGGCAGGACGCTGTTCGCCACGTGCAGTTTCCGTTAAGCAGCTGCACACAGCCGCACATCCCCCAAGCCACCACTTCGCAATGTCGCGAAGGCAGCACAACTGGCAGGCTGCGCTGAAGTTGCTGCATGACGTGCAAGGCACCACACGGCAGCACATGGCAGCAAATGGCACCACTCCGATGACCACTCGAACCCTTCTAAGCTTTGTGATGTCAGCTCGCAACATGTCACGGTTTGCCAGATCATGGCCTGGCATGCGATGACCGCTGACAGGTTCTGACACCTGTCAAGCGGAGGTGAACATATTCAGCTTTGGTGCGGCGATTTCAGCATGTGAGAGGACTGGTGCACAAGGTTGCCAGCGAAGGGTTGCTTAAGGGAAAGGAAGGAGGGAGCTGTTCTCGGGGTCGTTCGCATGTCGGTTGCATGATCTGCAGTGCGTGTCGTCCAAACTGGTGCCGCAAGGTGCGGGTAGTGAGTCACTAAGCGCCTCTACTTTTGACGCAGCAGCTTGCGTAATCCGTACGTTTCCGATAACCTCATCATGAGTTAGTGCAACTAGCCCGTGAATCAGTTGCAAGATGGCCCTGAGCACGTTTTCAAGAACCATCCTGGGGCTTGAAAAGCAAAGGGAGCAGATTGAGCACCCTGAAACCACGGAGCATGGATACGGTAAGATGCTCGCTAGAATGCTTGTCGAGGAGTGCTCAGTGGTCTTGGGCACTGCAGCTGCTTGATGATCTGATCGTCAGTGGCTTTGAGCTACCAAGCAGCAGATCATGCGCACCGTGATGAGGCAAGCTGTGTTGTGTAATCTAAGTGTGTAAGCCCTGCGGAGGCCAAATGTCATCGTTTGGAGCTCCGCATGCAGTGCGTGTGACAAGGATCGGTGCATCTGTGCACAACGGACAGAGCCGAGCCCAAAGTTGTTTCAGTTGCGACCTTTAATCTCTTGCTGCAAGGCAGAGCGCTGGCTGGAGTCACTTTCGCTTCTGCAGCAAATGCCCGCCCAGAGGCGCGCCTGATTATTAGACAGGTATCTATATGCTCCCTTGATTCCTTTTCGCTTTTGCTCCCATGAGTTGGATGACAGTGGATCTGGGAACGTTAGGTACAGGGTGAATGCAGCGTGCCTAACATCGCATCATGTCGCGCCCATGCACCAGACTTCTGCAGTTGGCCATTGTATGGGGTATGGTGGGAAGGGAGAAGCGTCTGTCTAGGTTCCGGGGTCAAAGTCTCCATTTCAGAATCTGCGCCGACCTGTTTTCCGTCCGCCCAGGCGCAAGCCCGGAATCCAAGAGCCTGCCCCAAGTTGCCCCACTATTCCAATTGGACTGAAGACCCCAAGCATGCGCTGTTGGGGAACAAATGCTTCAGCCAAGATGTAGTTTTCGGTGGCGTAGTGATTCAATTGAAGCAGCATGGCAGCGGCACAATGGTGCAAAGATGTGAATTGTGCAGGTTGCGGCCGAACGTGATTTCCTACGGGGCGGCACTAAGTGCGTGTGCCCGGGTTGCAAAGTGGCAGCATGCCATCGCGCTGTTGCAGCAAGCGTTCTTGGCGAAGGCCCCGAACCAAACAGGGGAAACGGGGAAGAGTCAGAGAAAAGTTTGCGGAATGATTTTTGCAAGCACATGTACAGGACGTTGAAGTGAACATTGTGCTCTGGAACTCCACCATTACAGCCTGTGCAAGGCCAGCGACGTGTCAAATTCGCTATCGCCTGTTTGTAGTAGAGTGAACGCAGCCCTCACTTGTCAGGGCAGCCGAGTGGCCTGTGGCCTTGCGCTTGCTGGAGCTGCTTCAGGAGGTCTGGAAACTGCGGGAGAGATTTCCAAGCAAGTCAGCAAGTCAGAGCATAAACTGCTTATATGCAGATGTGGTTGGTTTTGGCTTCAAACTTGCAAGTTTGAAGGGGAGCTCTTTTTTTGGATGAGAATGGCAGAACGGACACTTTGCATGCGTTAACCCTGTGCTTTGCTCTGCTTGCAGGGTGGCTTCCAGCCTGACATACTCAGCTTCAATGCTTCTATCAGTGCAGCTGGAGCTGGCAGTCGCTGGCAGCTGGCGCAGCTCGTCTTCAAGCCCAGGCAGAGGAGTTCTCAGGCTTAGTGCGCTGAAAACTTCCGGCGAATACATGCAGAATGCGACGTGTGATACATACACATGTTCGTGCTTTGTCGGGTGAGAATTGCGCATGAATGTGCACGTGCAATACACGAAACGACAGCAGGGTGCACTCATGGACTCAAAGATGTTTCGATTCGTATTATCGGTGAATGCCAGTCTGTGAGTCTATGCTTCGGGTTCCATCCAGGCTGGCACTCTTCGATTCGGCAGCGTCTGTTGGCCGCAGTGTGCCTCTCCCAGCTACGGGCATTCTGTGTAGAATTCACCTTTGGTTTGAGTCCAACTGCTTCATGTCCTCTGGGTTCAAAGAATTTCAGAGAATTTGTGGGCCGAAGGTTGTGACTTACAACGCGACTTTGGCGGCCTTTGAGGCTCGGAGCAACACTTCATGAATCTCACGGATTCGGTTTTCCTTGCGGAAGCCACACCGCCAAGGGGCTTGTCACGCAGTCCCAGACTGTCCCAGACTGTCCGACCATGCACCAGCTCCGCTACTACATGAAGAACTCAGCAAAGAACCGAACCAGTTTTTGAAGACTCAGTAAGTCTACACACAGTCTACACACAGCATTCCTTTCTCTTTGAGAGCCAAGTTTGGACAACTGCAGGCTGCTGGTCAGTGGTTGCCCGCCCTGAGCCTTCTGGGTCGGGATCCCACGGAAGGGTGTTAAAGGACGTTGCTATGTCGGCAGGGAGTCAGGTCTGTCAGGTCTGTCAGGTCTTAATGCTTCTGTGGGTATCTGGTTGCCTGCACGTGCGACCCAATGTCTCAATCTTCAGCTGTTTTGTTGATAAGTCGTGGCCTTCCCCTGGGGTTTTTGGATCAAGTTGCGGCTCAACTCTCATCACCTCCCGAGTTGCCAGCAGCGCAGGGCCCTCGGTGTCAAGACATGTATGTGGTGGCTTGCAAGCTATCCCGGTCAATTGAAGAAATTATGTACAGAGAACAGGGTTCACGTAAGCAGTGTTGGATACGACGAGGCTGGCCATAGATGGGCTGCGGAGCATCAGCTGAATCTGATGCCTTTTCGCCCTTGGCAAAGGCCGACATGAGCCTCTGTGAGGCCTGTGCTGGGTTGAAGCACCTATGAGAATCTGACAGGTGCACCAGCTACTGGACGAGCAGGATGAAGAAGATGAAGCAATTCTGTTGCAACTCGGGGCGCCTGTGTTCAGACGGACCGGCAGCTCTTCGATGGAGCCGCCTGTCCAAGTGGAGATAACTGGATAAAGCAAAAATCAAAGGATCGACAGATCTCTCTTCAGAAGCTCTCCTCTCTCTCTCTTTCTCTGGTTTGGTTTCTATTTCTCTCCCTCTCTCTGATAAATCTTGCTTAGTTTGTTTTCAGGCAAATTCACTGTGGAAAAAGTGTAAGAGAGTGTGTGTGTGGGTGGGTGGTGCACTTGGAGCTTTGAGGCTTGGCCAGCACCGAGCCCTTGGAGCGGACGACGGTTCTACTCTCGTGAGCTTTCCAGCCAGAAAGCACGAGTTGAAGGCTGCGGGAAGACACGAGGGAAGACACGGTTTTCTTTCACTTACATCTTCGCCCTACAGACGGTGACCTGTGTGCAAATGAATCGTCCTCGTTATGAGTCTCATTACGTGCCTTGACATGTCAGTGTTCCCGACACTAAATCTCCTTCTCTGGAAGGACCTGGTGCTTTGTCCAGAAGTGAAGCTGGCTCCTCCACACGTGGCCTTGATAGCAGATCCTTGCCGCAAATTGGTTGTTATTGCAACCGAGCAGTTGCAGGAATCTTCAGATGCTCTTAGCGCAGGATGCTCTCTTGCCTTCTATGAGCTCATGAATGCTACTTTTCCCGACCGCCTTTTCTTTCCTTGGGGTATGCTCATTTTATTTTGCTTTTTGCAGGCCTTTTTGTGTTGACAACAGACGGAGCCTTCGAACAGTTTGCGAAGCCTTGGTTCATAGCGTGTCAGTGCTGAGCACTTCATGCCATATCAGATCACGCGCCCCGCTTTTTGGGCGCCGATGCACGCACTGGTCAGCAATGTCCAAGGAGTGGGTGTCTGCAAAGCCTCAAGGGCTGCTATGGCTGCCGGAGACATTCAATGGTGTTGTGCCTGTGGCCTTGCCCTCAGCTGAGGCGTGAGACGAGCTGCTGCAATTTTGTTTTTAAAAGGTTTTGTTTAAATTCACTTCAGGCACCTGCGACGCCTGATTTCTTGGGGTATTATGGGGCCGCCATGGCCTCGTCCAGTAATACAACAATCGTCGAGTTCAAGGCAGGACATGCTTGTTGCTGCACCTCCAGACTTTGACGATATGCCCAAGCTGAATCCTCAGTTGCAGAGGCAGAGCAGCAGATCGTTGACTTTGAGTATTCCCACACATACAAGGTGTGGAGAGTGCGTGGAGACATTGATGGCTTGACACGTTTGCGGCAGTGTTGTGGCTTCACTTTGCGCAAAACGGT